TTAAATGGAGACTTCTTTAAAAAGTCACTACCATAAGACTAACACCAAGTGCCTCATCCTTTAAATATCAATGTAGATCTACAAAATGTTCATTTTTAAAAGAAGAGGTGGGGAATTTTAAATGACATCTTAACTGCATGGCTAAAAAGAAGATACTGAGATACTGCTGAGCAGCACTGTCTAAAAGAATAACCACAAGTGTCAGTAAAGTGCCAGCTTTCAGCAAGGGAATGACTGCACTTCATCAGGAATGGTCGGTCCTGCTGCCATTAAGGTCATACCTGAACATTTCAGAATGCAATCGACCCAAGAAGCCATTTGCAAACCCTGCGCTGCCTGAAGGACGCACAGGAATCAATAACTTCAGGTTTCTATTCTGAATTATTCATTCAATCTTTGCACAACAGAAAGCTGTTCTCTCTCTCTCTCTCTAATGCACTATCACTGCAACACAGTACATGATTTTGAACACTAAGCTTTAAAACAATAGCTTTAAAATCATTTTGTCCTGCTACTTATGAAAGCCTTCTTGCTTGTAAGACCTTCAAAAATTACTTTTGGAGCAGCTAGTCACTGTGCAGGGATATTGCCCCTTGCTCCTATCAGCAGCATGTTTCCCCCAAGGTCCAGTCAGTCAAGGGTCCCAAAAGCCAACACACCCTGTCAGTGCCATAAACAGGACAGCTTTGCCTCTCCAGGGAGCTGCTCAGGCATCCAGAGGCCCATACTGCTGCTAGAGGGTCAGCTAAGAGGTTCTCCACAACCTTTTCCTCCGTGAGAAAGAAGACATTTTCCCTAGTAAGAAGATACCTGGATGTTCACCATACCACTAGCCAGTTTCTGGTTGCCTTGCCTTCAGTCCTAATTTCTGGTAAAGAAACTTGGAATATTTCAGAATATCCTACTTAATTTGCCAGGACTAAGATCTGGCACTACAAAATTATTTTTAATTTGGTTTGAAAAAGGAACTGAATATTAAAGAAGAATTTGCCTGCTTTTATTCCTTTTTCATCATCAACTTCTTTCATTTTCTAACTTTTATCTCATCTTTCACCTGTATTTCAAACTAGCCTCACACTTTCCTTAAGTTTTGGGGTTTGAGATTCGAAGGAGATCAGAAAGAATTTTTGGGCTTTCCTGGAAGCTGGATTTCTCTTTGGGTGATTTAGAACTATGAAACCATTACACTAGAATTAAACCCCTTGCTACCACAGTGTACCTTTTCTTGTCACATCAAGCATTATCTCCTACTCTAGCAAGTACCAGAATTTAACATCTTATTTTGGCAGCAGCAAAGTGAAATGCTTGCTGGAAGCAGAGGTCAGTTTAGAGAAGAGAAGAGACCTCTAACCCACAACCACACTACTTTGGTATGTGAGTTTCTCCCTGGAAGTTCATACCACAGCAGTAGGTGAGTCTAAAGTCCAATATCTCACCTCTCCAACCCATATGTCAACAAGACACAAAAGATAACGCTTAAACCGGAGCCCCACATCAGACAGTAAACAGTAGCCTTAGCAAGGCCAATGCTCTAATCAGTCCTCAGAAAATCTGTTATCAATTCAAAAGAAAAACTTCAGCATTTAAAAAATGTAGTCACAGTCCACTTCATCTTAAACTGTGGATTTCAAAGATTCAACAGCTGAATTTTGCACATAATACATAATATACTTGTCTCTAAAACTATTTATATCAAGATAATTAGCAGGAAATATTTCTGCAATGACTGTGTTTCTAGTTTAGCAAAGCACACAACATACTTTACTAATCAAATAAGCTAACAAGAGATGAATTTTACACGCTGAATTTTAAATACTGCACTGTATAGGCTTTGAATCCAATGCAACTAGAGCTAGGCAATGGGGGGGCTGTATGGTAAATATTTACAAGCCATCTTATTGTTTGCAGTTACTCAGGGAGTCCCATACAGACCAATTACAAGAGTGACAGTAGGTTTCTATGCCAACTCCCAATGAATTATGGTAACTAATAAAAGCACCATTTCTGCTGACCTAGAAAAAAGCTCTTGAATACACCTCTATACTCTGGTATTTCCCAAGAAGCGCAGGAGAATAGGAGATTAATTAAAATGAGTGAGAAAAGAACTAAACAAGCAGGGAAAACATAAAAAGAGATGAGAAAAGAAAAATAGAGAAAAGAAAACCAAAAAAACAAGTAAGGGACAGAGAAAAGGAACAGGGAAAAGAGAAAGTAAAAATAAGAAAGAAAAAAGATGAAATTAAAATGTGATTCATCCCCATGCCCATAGCAGGGTCCTGCCCACATGCATGGTCTGGTGTTTGCCATGATCTCTCATAACTTCCATGATCACCTTCATCTTTTCTGCTTCTAGTTGAACCCTACTCAGCAACACTGACCTTTTTCAATAAGTGGAACAAAAGCACTTCTGGGACACAATTCCCTTCCTCTTGGGGAGATGCCTTATGGGTAGACATCTGTAAGAGTGTGTTCCCTCTGCTACCAACTAGAGAAGCCCGAGTAACCAGTTTAAATAAAGCTATTGAGATGCCTGAAATGAGACAATTCCCACCTTGATTTGTGTGCAACAAGTTACGTGCAGTGAATGGGCAAATATGAGTTGTATATGTTTTGTACTAAATCCAAGGTATGTGAAAACTAGGGCTCAACTTCAAACGCAGTGCATTGACCAGGACAGGTCCAGTGTTTCTGCTAAAAATTCATTTGTTTATTGTGCTCTTTTTTCTACATTCCCCCCATTATATGATATTTTCTAAATACGCCTTTGTGTCTTAAGATAAAACATCTGAAGGATTGATTTTAATTTCCATCCAAGTCACTGTTCTAGAAACAATGCTCTAAGAACAGGAATTTGACAACTGTATCATCAACTGTTTTCAAACTGTTTCCAGAAGATAAAGCTGAGTTATCACATAAATTTCAAGTTAATGGAAGAGCTATAGTCAAACTATATTTGTTCAAGTTAACGATCCTTCAATTGAATTCTAAAGTGAGAAATCCAATATGAAAATCAATGCCAGCAACACACACACACACTATCTTATCTATCTGTATCTATACCTCTGCAATCACCCACAGTGAGAACTACTTGAAAATGAAGGCCTAAGGCCACTGACCTTGGCAAGCAAGGCAAAAGGATTTAAAGAGTGTGAACTCTTTACTCTGAGTCTAAATCTTTTTTAAGCTACTCCCAAGGGGCTGACAGTATGGAAATCATGACTGAGCATGTTTTAGAAGGGTATAAAACAATGGTATATAGAAATATCATTTTCAGTACACCGCTCTTCTGTAAAAATATGCACTGTTTTTAACTTGTTTTAAAGGACTGCTCTCCAAAAATCTTCAGACAGGCTTTTCCCCATCCCAGAGATGCATTTTTAAAATGCACCTCGAATACACAAAAAGATTAGTAGCCTCTACAAAAATCACAACAATTACCCTCAGTTAGAAGAATAAATGCCTGATGGTTAATTTGGATATTGCATTTTACTGCCAGGTACTGGCAACCTTCCTGGATGTTTTTTTCTTTACATCTAATTTGTCTGAAGTACTGGACAATGGATACATTTCTTATACCATAAACATGAGGTAAAATTCAGAAAGGGAAGGCTGCAGACCTGCCTTTTGTCTTCTCATTAGCAAGTAGAAGACTTCTGCAAGGACTTGGCACCACTTGGATGTTTCAGGAGTACAATGAGGCGGCATTTGCATGGAAAGGGTCTTTGGAGCAGCTGTTTCTATACAGCATATTTCCTTTGGGTCTAGCAAATCCACAAAGGAAAATCTACTGGTATGAGCTGTTCTGTGACTCCAGACTCACCCTGCTCACAGAAAGCTGGTATGCTACTGCAGAGAGGCTGATGTCAGGACTGCTCCTGATGGCTCAGTCATGGTGAGAAGGACCAAAAGGCCACTCTGGAAGAGAGATCTCTTGCTAAAGGCAAAATTGAGACCAACTTTACATCCAGGCCTTGTTAGCTCTTTATGTCACACCACTTCCAAGAGCTACACAGATTTTTAAAAAATATGAAACAAAAAAGACAATTTTAAATATCCACATCCCTGAAGAAATTCTCTTCTGCTTCAGTGTCCAGTATTTCTCAAATACCCACAAGAGCAGCCACAGGAAGCAGTTAAGAAATAGTTACGTTGTTCCCTAAAAAACTCTATTTTTCTCTAAATACAAATGCAAGGAGATCTTTCCAGCAGTGTCTGAACATTGTATTCATTAATTAAATCTCAATTTTGACAGTTTGCAGATATGTTTTTATTTAATGTGACTCTTACATGAATTCAACCTCGAACTTGGGGGACCTATCAAAGCAAGTTATGTTAAGTAATTATACAATCTGTTTCTCCAGAGAAATGTCTGGGCTAGACAGCTGGCACTGAAACAGCAGATTAAATTTAGAACTGAAGGGCCTTACAGTGAAGGTGAATTCAGCTTTTAGTTATCTGTCAACTAAAAGCTGTACATGTTGTTAAAATAATGTGCTTTGTCCCTGAAGCAAAGTTCACTGCTATTCAAAAGGAAGATATTGAACTGTGACTTTTGCCTCTAGAAAGCTCCTATTTCTAATTCACAAGTAGCATACTAATGCCATAGGATGACCAAGACCTCTCTTTCTCAAGGTCATTTCCCCGTCCATAACATGGTACTTAAAATAGTTTTTTTTTTCATTTGCCTTAGTTATGGTACTACAGCCATGACACACCTATTCCAGAAAACAGTCAAGCCTTACAGAACGAAATCATGTCTCTTAAACTTCGACACGTTTTAATTTCAACTTCAAGTGCTCAATTAGATCACCTTGGGATATTAGACAACAGCATTTCAACTCCCCCACGACTCCTCAAAGACAAAGCACATGCATAAACCTCACAATTTTGTATTTTCCTTATATGTAACACAGCTGCATCCCGAGACCAAACATGTAGTAAAAGACAAAATCGCTGCTATAGTAATCAATCACCCAGACATGACAGATGTAACAACTGACCTTCATGAGATGCTGATTTATCCATTTTGTGAACGTCTTCTTTTGTACTTTGTCCCGCTCATCTAGAGGTAAAAGGAAAAAGAAAAGGGTTTAACAGCTCTACAAGTGATGCAGAACATTTTTTCTTTATTAAGAGATTTATAAAATATTCTAGTAAATTCTTAAAACTTAAATTTCTAAAAGCTCTAAAATGTCTAATCAAAATAATAGCACATAAATGTTTTTGCAGTACATCACAGCATGTAATGAAAAAGTTTCTTGAAGCTCCAGGTGAGTTCCTGCAGGGTGACAGCCTCACAGGTACAACAGCAGCACTACTAATAAAAATATAACTTCCTAGGAGAAATCAACTGTCACCCAAATTGTACTAAAATAGTCACGGCAAACTTTTAAGAGCTATAAATACTACTCACAGTCTCTACAATCAATTAATTACTAAAGTATTAGGCAATAGAAAATCTCTTACCATGTGAAAGCTAATTTTAATCAGTATGCTTTTCAACTGGAATATCCCTTGTTCCAACACACAGGGATGAGTTACAGCTTCAGTCAGAGAAAGGACCCTCTTTTAATTCTCTATAAAATCAACAGGGATGTCCACCAGCCCAGATATGGGACCCAGCCCCTGTCAGCAGTTTGCTCCCTGGCATGGCAGTTAGCATCACTGATTGCCCACAAAACACTGTGGAGAAATAACAGGAATAATAGACTTAGGGTAAGAAAGCATCCCACTTATGGATAGGAAGCATATACATGTATTCTACTCGGAAAACTCTTGTGCTGGAGTGGTGGTTAGTTTTTATCTCCAGCAATCTATGTAGGATCACCAGGCAGTACAACTGCTACACAGCCTGCTCACAGTCCCAGAGCTGCCCAGAACAGGAGTCACGGGGCATTAGGACCAGGACCATCTGTGCAAGCCTAAAATAGCAAGATCCCTTCAGACCCCGTACAACACAACTGCAGCTGTTTCATTGACTCAGGCTGTTTGCAGTATGGCTGAGAATGAGCTCAGGTAGCAAAACAAGACCCCTGTGCACCTATTGCCATCACTTGAAGACTGATTCAGGTCCTGTATTTTACATTTAAAAATACTGTTTTCAAGTTGGTCAAAGATAGCAATAAATAAAAATAAATTCACTGAAAGACTTTCAAGTACTTTCAAGTTTTTGGTGTGATACTGAAGTCTTTCAAAATCACATGACATCATACAAGAGTCCACACTGGGCCAAACTGAGCACTGCATGCTGTTCCTAACAGTAGTGAGAAATTACTTTCGGGGAATAAATGCAAAAACAAGACAAGTAAAAGCCTGTGAAGCCTTTATATAGTCCTCTCTTATGTGACTCACAGACTTGCTACATGCTCATACATATCTGTGCATTTAAGAGCCATAGATGCATTTTTTCCTGTTATTTTTTCCAATTCTTTTTTAACACACCTATCACTTTGATAAGCCATACCTTACTGTGACAATGAGATCTTCAGGCAGTACGTGTAGTTGTATATTTGGCTCTGTACAGAAGAGTTGCTGTTTCCTAAACCCCTTTTCCACATCACTCAAGATCTTCTAAGCTACTGGCATATACTTTTTTCCCCACTTCACAGATCTACACACTCTTATTCTACTTGAAGACTCAGAAAAGAGAAATAGACAAACTAAAGTGCAAAGCTGCACTATCAGAAAAAAAATTGGCAGATTAAGAAAACCTTTTGCTATATATACTTCCCTATAGCCTTCATCTAGCAAAACATAATTTCTGACATCAGTTATTTATTCTAATAAAGTGGAAGCTCTGATTTAGTAGATATAGAGAACAGAAAATCTCAGAAATAAGAGAAATCTAGCAACACTTTCATTTTTAACTGTTCCATTATGGGTAGCTCTTGTAAAAGGAACACAAGGTTTCTCAGCTGCAAAACTTCACAGTGTGTACAATGTGTCTTTTCTCCTAAGGTAACCTCATCTAGTTTTGATCACATAGAAGTTTACATTTTGGGAAATGGTACTGTGACAACAGTTAAAACAAAACAAAACAAAACAAACAAACAAAAACAAAAACCAGAAAACTTGAAAAAATCCACTTGTATTTTGTTAAGACTATGCAGTCACTATTAGTTTCAACTGTATTTTCAATTAAAATGCCAATATTCATAAAACAAATGATGCTTACTACTCTTGTTCCTTTTACAGATACGTATGCATTACACAAACATTCACAGAAAAATTCTGTAACTTATAGACAAGAATGTGCAATGAGGAGGAAAGCTGACACCTGTCATGTTGTGAAAAACACAAGAATTCAAGGGAGGAAAAAGAGTCACCAAAACAGAACCACAGAATATTCTGAGTTGGAAGGACCCACAAGGATCATCAAGTCCAACTCTTAAGTGAACGGCCCATGGGATTGAACGCATGACCTTGTCATAGTTAGCACCAAGTTTAAGCAACTCAGCTAATCTCAGTGTCACGCCACAACTGTGATTTTTACCAAAATACCAAATGCTTCCAGAAAGGCAAATACATACTAAGAGGAAAATACAGTGCAACAGTATTCAGTGTGCTCCAGCTCAGAGCAGAATACATGAAATCAAACTCCCCAAATGAAGTAAAAAACAGGAAAATTACTCAAAAATAGAAACACTAATTAAGGAAAGAAACCCACAGAAAGCCCCTCGAGAGAAGTTTCCCCCCAGAGAGCTCTGCCCTGTCCCGCAGGCAGCCCTGCCAGCCCAGCTCCGGGCTGCGTTACTGACCCATGCAGCACATGACTTCCACCAGCCTGGCACTCTGGTCCTTTTTGTCTTCATCAGACTGTCTCATTCCCCCCTCCAAAAGTTCAGAGCTTCTTTTCTTTTCAGGGCAGAGGAGAGCTAAGGAGTGACCAGGATTTCTCCTAGCTGACACAAAGTAGCAACACCCCTTTTTAAAAAAAACAGGAGCAAACAGCCCAATGTGCTGTCACAGCAAGCAAAACTGCGAGCCCTCTGGCTTTAACACACAATATGAAATAAATCAAGCATCTGCATTTTTTGTTTTGAACTTTCAGGTGCACTGATATACATTTGAGTACAAATGTTGAGCTTTGCAAACCAGGAAGTCTGTTTTCAATTCTACCAGCAGTGAGCAGCAAGGAAAGAGAGTCGCTGTGAACCCAGCAGCAGGAGCGCTGTTGAAGCAGAGGTATCTTAAGAATGCAGGTAAAGCAGGAGCTACAGAAAGAAAGCACACCTTCCTACGTCATCTGTTATGTAGATCACCACAAAAAACCCTCAGTGGTTAATTAATCAACTTAAGCTTGTCTGCTTTTACCTATTATTGCAGACATTAATCTGATGTATCAAACAAACTCAAAGTCTCTAGTACTTTATGTGCCTGGAAAGTGCCTCAACAAAATGTCTCCAGTCTTAACAAACTGACAGCCTACTTCATGAACTTACACTACAACACAGAAGCATCTAAAGAGGCTCTAGATTAGAATACTTGGACTTAAAAAACCGTTGCTGCAACTAAGGTCTCTTGCTCTGTGTTCTTGTCATTCCTCAACCCCAGGCGCAAGTTCAGGGGACAGATCCTTCCAATACGAATCCCTATCACTTAAATGGTTCACAGTGTCTGGAAATCAGGATAGTTTTTCTGGAAGAGAAGTTTACTAACAGGACTATACCAAAGGTGACACATGGCCTTGATGCCTCTTAGTGGTCTCCTAGGGAGAATCATAGACCCATTGAGGGTGGGAAAGACCTTTAAGATCATTAAGAGTAACAATTAAACAACTAAACCATGTCCCTAAGTGCCACACCTATATGTCTATTAAATACCTCTAAGGATGGCAACTCAGTTACTTCCCTGCACAGCCTGTTCCAATGTTCGACAACTTTTCTGTGAAGACATTCCTCCTGTGTCCAACATGAGCCTCCCTGGGTACACTAGAGGCCATTTCTTCTTGACCTGTGACTTGTTAGTTGGGAAAAGAGAGCAACACTCACGTCACTACAATCTCCTTTCAGGCAGCTGTAGAGAGCAACAAGGTCTTCCCTTAGGCTTCTTTTCTCCAGGCTAAACAGCCCCAGTTCCCTCAGCCTTTCCTCATCAGACTTGTGCTCTAGACCCTTCACCAGCTCCATTACCCTTCTCTGGACACACTCCAGAACCTCAAAGTCTTTCTTGTAGTGCAGGGTCCAGAAACAGACACAAGGTGCTGTCTCACCAGTGCCAAGTCCAGAGGGACAATCACTTCCCTTGCCCTGCTGGCTGCGCTGTTTCTGATGCAAGCGAAGATACCACTGGCCTTCTTGGCCACCTGGGCACACTCATGCTCAGCCCCTGTGGATCAGCATACACAGGTCCTTTTCCACCGGGCAGCTTTCCAGCCACTCTGCCCCCAGCCTGTAGCTTTGCATGGGGTTGCTGTGACTCCTGCAGAAGCCACTGAGTGCTCCTCTCTACCTGAAGGCATACCTGAAATCTTCTCTCAGCAACACAGCAGATGCCACCAGCTTGCATGAGCAGAACAATGCACTCTTCTCCAAACCGATGTAAGGAAATGCAAAATGAGCACGGGAATATAAACTCCTCAGTTTCCAGATGAGCTGCAAATTTCTATGCTTCTTTCTCTGATATTTTCACTGTCAGAATGAAGTCTGGAGTTCCTACACCTAGTGACAGATTTACAAAAAAAAAAAAAAAAAAATCTCCTTTTCTTTGTCAGCTTTCGGCATTGCTAAGTTGTGTTTGCTTCTCTGCTGATATTTGTTTGCCTACACGAATGGCCAGATAGTCAACAGGTTTTTCTACTTTTGTCCAGGTATTTACGAAAGCCCTGACAGGCGTTTTTTCTATTTATATAAGAAAGCTCATATAATACTCATAAAACTCACTTATATTTATATTCATGCATAAATGCACTATTTTTCTGCACAAATTGTTGCTACAATACCTATTTATATTAAACTCAAAAAACCCTGTTAAAAGAACATTATAAGGGTTGCAAAGGGAAGCACTCAAAAGTAGAGTTATAACGACCTAAAACTGGTTGTGAAACGTTAATACAACCTTCTT